AGAAAGAGGCATTAGTTGTTGGAGCGAGAGAGGTACTAATGGCAGGTATGTGAATCTAGATGAAGAATGATTTCAAAGCTGGGTTGTTACTAATTTTGTTATTTTAGGCAAATTATTAATTAATCTGTGTTCCTTGGTTTCTTCATCTGTGAAAATCATGAGTAACTTCTTACAGTTAACATGAAGGTTCAGCTCAATGCATTGCATAGTGTTAGCTGTAATTTTCTTATATGGGTATTTACTGGACCTTAAATACTACTAACTACAGTACCAATCAATCTTTTCAGGACTCCTGCTGTTTCAACAAGTGGTTGTGATCTCAATGAAATGCCTTTTTACAAATTATTGAGAAATACCTTAGAAGCCAAGCCAACATATATCAAGATTATCTATGCCAAGAAAGCCTCCATACATCTCAGTTATATTACCTCAGTTTCATCTCTCCAGTTAAAAGTTTTAGCTTGGGGCTGGGGAGATAGCTTGGCAGTCTAAGAGCCAAGCACAAGGACATGGTTTCTATCCCCAGTACTGCATGCTGGGCCAGCCCTGGAATCCTGGGTCTGCCATGCAGTTGAGCTGCATAGCGAGACCCTGTACCAAATAAATACATAAAAATAATAAATTTTTTTAAAAAATTTACTTCGGCTAAAAAATACAAAACAAAACCAAAACAAGTCATTAGCACAATGTCTCACGCCTGTAATCCTACCTACTCAGAAGGCTGAGGAAGATCTCAAGTTTGAGGCCAACCTTGGCAATTTAGCAAAACTGCATCTTAAAATAAAAAAATAAAATAAAAAATAGGCCAGGGATACATAATTTAGTAGTTTCTGGGCTTAAGGCCCAGGAGAACCCCTCACATACATAGAAGACATCAGCAAAAAGTCCAAGCTCAAAATATGTTAGTAAAAGACCTGTAGTAAATACATAACCATAAATTAAAAAATAAAATTAGGGGCCAGGGAGATGGCTCAGTAGAATAATTGCTTGCCTGGCAAGTGCAAGGGCCTGAGTCTAACCCCCGG